TCGCCATTTCCTCCCAAGGAGAAAAGTTCTAAAAAAGAATTTTTTTTTTTTTCATTTTACATGCGAGCAAAACAAAAATATTATCTGCTTCAAACAGAAAAAGGAATCGTCGACAAATACATTGTGTGATCGACAGCCCGTTTTCGAATGAATTGTGGTCCTGTTCACTTTAAGTATTAAATTAATTGTCTCATATTTAAGTATTATTTGTCAGCTGTAAAATTTCATAATTTATGAGACAAAACTTTTGTAACTAGCTTAATGTTCGTTTAGAAATAAAAATTTTTTCAATTATTTTGAATTGATTAGTCGTTATCCTAGCTATAAATTTCGTACATCATTAGTAGCGTATTTTTGGCTTTTTTTTTTTTAAGGGTTGTTCCTGACGACATTTAATCATATTTTACATTCCTGGCATCACTCTACCCCCCCCCCCTGTTAACTACTGAAATCCAAGTATACGAGACCCCTCGCCAGTGAAAAAAAGTGCCAAAGATATCTACCCATGTAGTTTGATGGTCAATTTATTTATCTAACCTCGCTTTTTCAGGTCATGTGAAATGAAATAGCGAGACGTATTTTCTACTACACAAAACGCGAAGGTCTGCGGGTTAGGGCGGGTAAGGTAGGGAGGGTGTCGAAAATCAACCGACGGCCAAACGTGATGGATGGACGGACCAAACCGATGATGATAGGGGCGAAAAAAAAGGTACCTGTGTGCCAAAAATATTTTATTTTCCACGTCAAACAAGTCAAATGGGGGTCATCTTTTACACACCAGCATGTCACCGCCGCCAATTGCTTGTCAACGGCTATATTGTAGGTACCACAGACAACACAATAGGACCACGGTAGCGTAAGGTCGTGCACACACCTATCATCGGCGGAGAAACATAACCAACGCCCAGACACACACACGGTCTTAACATCGATCCGGCAGAGCGGGCCCCCAGCACGTGCCATCCCACCCGCCGCACCGTGCAAGGGTAGCGCGCGCCGACCCGAGTTTTTCTGCGGGTTAGCTAACCACCACCACCACCACCACCACAGGGTTACACGTTCCATTCACGTGTACCTTCTTCTTTACCTTTATCACGCCAAAGATCTCTGTGATCGACCAGGTATTCTACTGCTTTGGCGCAGGATAGAGGTCTTGGCGTTGGACGTGACACCCGACACCTGACTTTCAACACCTAATTGACTCTCCAAAAGACTCACGGTGCTGCGTATTCGGTTTTATCATAAATCTAAAATTTTAGTTTGATTTTAGTTTTCTACGTTCAAGTTACACATCAAATCACACTTATCGTTTCAATTGAATACCAAAAGTTACTAATGTTAAATTATAAAAAAAAACATGTACCTATTATAGGGCACAATCCTTAAAATTGGGGCTATAAAATTAACAAACATGAATTATTTTTTTATAGACTAATAGAAAGATCAAAATAATTATAATCTTCATTATCGTATACCACCGGTCAATATCAGTTATCAGTTTTCACACTAAAAACAGTATGAACCAGACATATAGTAGATATATAAATCTAGTTGTTTCATATATCTATGACCAGACAGTATATTATCTGAAAAGTGAAACGTGATAGTGAACAATATTTAAAATTATGTTAACAATACAGATATTTTGTAATTTTGAAAAATAATTTTTTGAAATACAATTTTTCTTTAGAACTATTATACCTGTAAAATATATTATATACCAATTTCCAAAAAAGCCATATGCTACATGGTAATTATGAAAATATTATTGAGAGAGAGAGAGAACAACATTTATTAAAATAATAATAAAGCGGACTGCCTGTCTACCAGGTTGCCTATTATAATGACACAGTATACCTATCAGACGTTTTTGTTACTAGTATAAATTAAGAACATATAAAAATTAGTGATGAGAATCCAAAAATCCGGATTTTCACAACAAAAAAAATGGTATTTAAGCTACTTAAAAAGCGTAAAAGTGTTAAATAATTTTACAATATAAAGCTGTGTACCTAAGTGACATTTGTTTTTGAAAAAATAGGTATGTAAAAATAAAACAAAACACAAAAAAGATAAACAAAGTTTATAATAGACAATGTTAAGAGTTATTTTAAAATTTTTATCAACAAATTTTACTTAAGCACACATCCTTATATTGTAAATGTATTTAATATTTATACGATTTTCAAGTGGCTTAAATAGCGTTTTTTTTTAAAAATCCGGATTTTAGGATTACCATCACTAATAAAAATACATAATAATTATAGTCTAAAACACATAAGGTATAAAAAAAATTGTTTGTTTTATTTTCTAATCAAAATCAATTAATAATTAATTAACTAACTTATTAATTTAAAAAAAACGAATTAATATAGATAAATATTATTATTTTTGTCTCTGAACTACATAGTTTTTTTAATAGTTCATGAATGCACCTATTAGCTGCAGTCTTAGGTGATATAATACCTACAACAAATATACAATAAGTTAACAAAATGTCTCCATTTGTATTTAATGAATTTTAGCACATTCCATCACCACGCGAGACAAATAAAAAAAAAGCCATTACCTATACAAGTATGGTGAATTTTTAACATACAACTATGTTTATATACTGATGTTGTGAAAGTGCATTTTGCACTAACAGCGGAGAAACGAATGAACGAGATAAAAAAGGTCATGTTTTGGATAATGGAATAGCAAAAGAAGCTAAAGTTAATGGTCGGATGTTCATAATATTACTATGGAAGAGTCGTGGTGAATTATATATAATTATTAAATTGTTAGAGGTTGTAATGGCAAGTGAACAGAGCGGAAAGATAAAAACAGGGTAGCCGACCTCCCGTGTGTAGGATGAGAAGTAGAATACTAGTCATTCATATATTTCAAGACACCACTTATATATTCAATGTATACATACATACGAGTATTTTAATTGTGTATTAAATTCCAATGTTTACGTTATGAAGGTCAACAACTTTGAAATTATTACCAGACAACATTGCATTGACCAAGACTGTGGTTTGATAACGAGAAATATACAATACATGTAGGTATTATTAATAGAAAAAAATTCGTATCACCGAGACCAAGGTAATTTATGCCAAAGATAAACCTTAAAAACAATCATCTTTATCCTACAGTGTATAATTTAGCTATTTTTTTACCAATAAAATAAGCTAATGAGTGATGACACAGAATATATACATATTTTTTTCAACTGCATGTTTATTATTCACAATTATCGGTAAAGATTTTATTTATCTAATGCGCAATTTGTAAAAGGTAAAAAAAAACAACTTAACATTACTTATTCAGAATGATTACAGGTTAATTACAACAAGTTTTAACAAATTAAAATTTGTATTATGTAATATAGTAGGTACTAAACTATAAATGTACAATCAATGCAATTATTTGTTAGGTCTTAAAGTTATTTATAAACAGGATCTTGGAAGATACGATAATTCTTCCAAGACTAGTTGAGCACTGAGAGCAAAATTTTCAATTGACATTTATCATTAAATGTAATTGCTAAAACCAATTAAAAAACACATCTGGGAGCACGAATGTTTGTTAGACTTTTGGAAATTGTTTGATGACTAAAGAATTAATAGGCTACCGATCAATTATTTTTTAAACAATATGTACCTATTTATTTGACGAAAATTGTGACTATAAATATAATTTATTGTTATGGAAGTAAATTTTGACATGTAAATAGCAGCTTCAGGCCTCTTCTCTAAAACCTATACTTTTTAGTATCTTATCACGAAAAATTAGTTTTTAAAAAATACGTTAAGCATTTAAAACGTTCAATTGCGTTTTAAATAAACCTTTTTGTAATAACATTGATATATTTCTACACATTTTCGTATATAATATCATTGATTATAAATAATTATTTATAATCAATGATAATATAAAAGAATAAAATTAATTATCCACAGAGGAAAAAACGAGTAATACAGTTATAGTAATAATTTTCGCAAACAAAATAGAAATTATGTAAAATAATAGTTTGCATAATACAAGTGATATAACAAATGTATTATGGAATGAGAGTATATGTGAAATATTTTTGGTTTCAACGAGTGGAGTTCATTAAAATAAAACTCTGACTCTTCTGGACGACAACCAAAGACAAAATGATAAATGCAGTACAAATATTAATGTACTTTAGTCTCTATACTGTGTTTAACCAGTAGTAGACAGAAAACATTTCAAAAGCCATTAAGCACAACGAAAGTAGAATTATCCGTATTCTGTTCTGGTATAATAATAATTTTTATTTACGATCGAGAACAATTCTTGTACAATGTGATTGCAACGAGTTATTAATAACGATAATTGATCGATGTGTTAAATGCAATTTACTGTTATCGCGTTCGCTACAACTGTGTTATCATTAAAACAAATAAACAAACTTTGTACGACAGTTATCTCTATCAGTAAGTTTATAAATACAACACAAAAGCGTGTAATCGAAAGTAGAATTTAAAACAGACATTTATTTCTTCTACGATTTATATTTTTCAACATTTAGTTTACACAAAATATACTCTGCAGAGTTAACGACGCTCTTAACGAGCAAAACTTTTTGTACCGTTAAACGTTCAACTTTTTAGAACAACAACAACGCGATTCCATATTGCTTATACAGTGTATTATTCATTTCGTATATTATTAGGTATGCACGACACACAATGTTTGAAACAATAAAGTGCGCCGACGAGTAGAGTTCACAATACCTACAGTATAATGCTACGGTATTTTCGCAGACAATTTATAATTCGTGATATTCATTTATAAGCCGTTGCATTGTACGCTGAAAAAGCAACAACAACGGCAAAACGACTTGTTCGACATCGTTCGTGAAGACAGGATGAGGGTAATTTTCCACATACTTCTAAGGCTTTTTTCGGGGGATTTCTGGGATTCAAGATGATTTCTAGGGTGAACAACGGGGGTGGTTTTTTTTTTTGTCAATTTGTACTCACGGCCAAAGTCCTGCAAATCCTGGTAATCCCGTGTTCCCGGTACGGTGCGATACCGAAAATCGTTGGAGCGCGAAACACCAAGTACACCGCGTTAACGGCCATGACAGCGGCTATGCGCGCGTGAAACACAACTGATTACCGAGCGGCGAGCACGGGCCAACAGCTCACAGCTGTCGCGGACGTTGTCAAGCGGCCAGCGCGCGCGTGTGCGTGATAACGCGCGCATTGCTTGACAACGGCGGTCGCGCGATAAGCCCGCGCGCGCACTGTGACCAACAGCAGCGGCGGCTGGTACACCGCCACGTTGGCTAGCCTGCGACCCCGGTAAAACAGCCGGTCGCCCGTTTTGCCGTGAGCTCGATAACGCGGGGTTATTGATAACCAACACTGCTGGCGTAAGTCGATTCAGTTTTGGCCTTTCGCAGACATTTTCAATTTTTCGGCCGTCCAAAAACCGACGTTGTACCGAGAAATCTTCACTCTTGCATCCTAGTCAAAAAGAAAAACAGTAAGTATCCGATGACATTATTTTCTCGTACGTACTAGTAATGCCGCCATTGAATCCACATCGAAACCAGTGTTTCATATGTCATTAGATCCAAATAAAATATCGATAGTTGTCGTTTTCAAGCCAACACTTTTCGGGTTTGGCTCGTTTCAGAATAGTTAACTTATGATGCGTACGATTCATTAAGCACTTTTTAAAATAAAGCCCTCAAGGTTTTACGGTTTACCCATTTTATGATCAAGAATATTGCCTATCCAAAATTTTATAACTTACATAATATTTTGGGCAATCTAGTATCTAGTAACGCGAGATATATTCTAAAAACATTGGCCTAACTTTAAATTATTCTTTTTGATAAGATATTATTGTTATTGGGTTGTAAATTGTGCATACTTAGGAGATTTTCGGTGTCGATTATAATCCCAAAATTTGTTCAAGGTTAACTTGCCTGTGTGACACCTATTAAGGAAGCTTAAAAAAATAACTTGACTGATTAAGTAAAAAAGCTTGTACTGTGGGGAGGTGACAGGTCTACAGGAATTATTATAACTGTAAATGATGATATCACTTTTAAATAATTGCTTTGATGCGAAGCTGTGGTCTAATAAGTTGGTTTTAAAGAGGAAGGGGTGAATTTTTGGCACAATAAAGTATTTTACAGGTACGATTTCTGATCTATAGAGTTGATGCACGAAAAAAATCGATTCAGCAGCTTAGAAGATATCGTGGGTAGAGACACAAAAATAAAAAAATGTAAAAACACATTGTAAATACAATACCTTCTCAGCTTCGCATCAAAGCTAAAATAAAAATCTCTTGGTTTTTAATGTTTTAGTTAAAATACCTACTTACACCTGTAAATAAACAGAAAAGTTATCTGTCATAATTGGCTTTGTACAATCAACCCCGGAACAGGTCAATTTTGATTTCATACAGATTTGAATACGATATGAATTTTTTCCTCTTAAAAGCAAATGTAATAATATTTATTAGATAAAATATCTGAAACTTATTTTACGCCAAAGCGTTTTTAGATGTTTTCTGATGTAATTTTACACGACTAGATTTTTTAAATTAATGTATAATTTTGTTCGACATTTAGAGCTTTTTTTCTATGATGGATTAATTTTCTTAGCACCTATATGAATACCAACGTATTACCAATGTAATCTTCTAATAATTTCAGCTGTAATTAAAAAAATTATGGTTTTTATAAATAAACATAATGTTTAATGTTTACATTATTATTATTATTATACACTTATATTGATATATAAACATTTTTAGATCATGGGAGGTGAATTTGGAAATTTAAAGAGCGACATCCGCGGTGTCATTACTACCAAACTGTCGCCATTCGAACAAAAGGCATTCAAAGGACTGTTTTCCCATGGCGTGCCCAATGCGATTAGAAGAACCGCTTCTAATTTGCCTTTCATTGTACCTCCAATGATATGTAGTTATCTGCTTTATCAATGGGCCGAAGAAACCCACGACAAAAGCGTGAGGAAGAATCCTGCCGACTATGTTAATGATGTATAAATCATTGTAAACAATGTATTACTTACCATAAAAAATGTAATGTAGATACTAGAAAATTATCTCTGTCAAACTATAAAATATACCATCGTAATAAAGTGTCCGTTGTGAAATACTATACATGTATTTTTTTTTTTTTTTTCATAAGTTTAGTAGCTGTTGTTTTTTTATAAAAAGAAAATTGTTTCACTGTGTATGTAATCGTAATCAAATGAACTTATTTAAAACTGTATCTGTTAATAGACACTATTATGTAATTATATTCAGGATGAGACATAATTTTCTCGAAAAATAAATCCAATATTGTAGAAATTTTTTTTTAGAGACATATTTACTTATATTATTTTACAAAGCTCTATCAACTTTCCAAACAATGGTATTTTCAATGTCATTTAAGATATTTAAATGTATTTTATTAAATTTAAAAAACAATAATTGCTGGGAAATCTGACTGGTCGACAGCCAGTTTGAATAATCACGTCATTATTAAGTCATAAGAGTTTATAAATTCAGTACTGTAGGTCTAATGTCTGTATAAAAAGTGCCCAAAAAAATTCTACCCTTACCTTTTGTAGGCTGAATGTTTTTGGGTTTTTCATGAAACAGACAGGCCATTATGATTAAGGAAAAATAATATTAATGTTAAAACTTGTTTTCTTATATCCATTAAATTTATCGTGTTTACCAAGTGATACAATTACAGATGTAACAGGTAGTTAATAAGACATCTCGTATATACTACAAATTAATTCAAATCATTATGATCGGTTTAAAAATAATTCCGAAGGGATTTGGCTTACAATTAACTTGAATTGACTTTTTAGTAGTACAAAGAAAAATTAACAATTAATTAATTTAGTATTAAATTGTTGAATTTCAAAACACAATTCAAAGTGAATGATGTATTCAAATTAAATTAAAGAGTACAAACGATAACAGGTGATATTGTAAGTAGTTTTACTGGTATTTTAGCATAATATTATGTCGTTAAAATGGTTTTTAATGAAAAAATATCCCAGACGGTATTTTGTTGTTCCTGTTGCTATGGGTGATAAAAATCAATGATAATTACACCAATTGTACTGTTTTTAATAAATAAACAATAGTACTATTCACTATGATACAACAGTACTGCTATGTATGCTTACTAATAAAAAACTATCTCAAGTATGATATGTTATTTTAAATTTTGAATTTGTCTTGATTCACATGGATGGGAAAGATTGCGAAGATTCCACGGTTAGTACGGTGGAGAGGAGTCGTTCTAATTTACAGTTTCCAAACAGTTATTCCGGGTAAGTGTGGTACACACAGGATGATTTCTATACTTAAGTGTGTTCCAACTTCCATCGTACCAATTGTTCATCGCATATATATTATAGTGTTAAATAATTGATTTAGAGAAATAATTGACGAGCGTGTAAAGACACTGCCAGTTTTTAACAATAAAAAGCCAACTGCTGTGACGAGATCGCAATGCAAAAAAAAAACATTAAAACCAATCCCTATTCATACATTGTCAGCTACTAGACGACAATGTAAGTTTTGAATCTTTATATTTTATATAAAAAAAAACATATTAAGAATATTAGCGTGTAAACAGGCGTTTCAAATTTACCATATAAAGCGGCGTTGACCGGTCGTACGGGAAGTCATCAATCCAACGCGGCTTGCCTGAAGAATTTATTGTGCCACACTCATACGGTGAAAATCAAACAGTTGGAGAATGAAATCAACGAAAGTCGAATGCAGTGTCAAGTGAGTTTTTAGTTTTATATATAAAAAATAATAACAAACAATCTAATTTTGTAATTTAGGATTTGATAACTGAAAATCGATTGTTGAAAACAATGGAGAAACGACAAGAGCACGCTTTGTCGCTTTACGAAGGCGCACAAGCGAAATTGCCCCAGATGATCAAGTCGTTTAGCGAAGACGTACGTACGCTGAAGAGTCAGCTGAAACAAATGAAAAGTGCGTACAAGGAATTGGAGAATAGATATCGATCGCAAAGTACCGAACTGCTAATAGTGCAAAAACAGCATAAACACTTGTTAGATTTGTCCAAAAACAAACATCTCGCCGAAAGAGATAAACTGTCCAAGCAGTTGGCCGATGCGAGGAATACACTTTTGCAGCAAGAGAAAAAAATCGAGGTAATGTGGAGAAAAACAAACAGGGAATGTTAGTCGTAGCGAGTCGATAATTTATCGTTTATTAATATTTGCGTAGAATTTAATGAAAAAATTGCAACTCCAAAACAAGACCCATCAACATCAAATATGTGCAGAACTGAGTAAAAATAAAGATTTACACGTAGAATTAAAAAGGTTAAACGAAATGAATGAACAACTAAGTTTACAAATAGAAAAGAGTAAGTTACACAGTTATGGGGCAAGATTATTCAAAGTACGTGGAATTACTGAAAACTCAATCACTTTAACACCTCGGTAAGTTTATCTATTGCAACCCGGGCATTATTTAAATAACAATTAAAATCCAAATTTATTCATACAAATACAATTTTATTTTTAATATGAACAATTTTCGCATTTAACAATTACAAAAGTAATTAAAAAACTTTTAGCTTAATAATTTTTTATATAAATAAAAGTTTATGTAATTAAATCAATTTTTATTCTAAGAATTATAAGAATATAAAAGGTTATTTAAAACAGTAAAATAAAAATGCTTATTAAAAGGAAATATTATAAGAAACAGTAAATGCGTAAATACCGATTTAATTAAAATAAAAAATTATTTGATTCGCTAAACGAAAATATACATGATAATTATTAATATATCATTATTTTAATAATAATTATTCGTTATTTAAATTAAAAAAACGCCCAAGTTTGATTCATTGCCAATGTGTATTTAATGGTAGTGTATTTCTTCAATAGTACAGCTACAACGGTAGTAGCGAGACATAACCTTGGAGGCAACGGAGACAATAGCGAGTTGTCGTACAAAAAAGGTGTCCGCGTAATAGAATCTCTGCACGGCACTTCCGGCGATAGTGATGTGTCTATCAGAAATATGCAATCAAATTTAACAAATCAAAAAACTGGAATTGTTAATCAAAGTCCAGACAATAGCAGAGCTGCTATAACAAACTCTTCGGTTCATAAATTGTTGCTATTCAACAACGGTATTAACAAATTAGTGAAGGTAAGTGGTGATTTTAGTCACAAATGTTTATGAAGAGTGCGTATTCGTGTGAGCAACTCCTCGATTTTACAATTATTTATTCTTAGGACGATGAAAAAATATTACTTCAAATGCAGTCCAGCCTCACGAATCAAAATGAAACGAACAACAGCGGTAGTACGTTCACAACGCCCGAAACTTCATTGTCTAGAGCTGAAAAAGACCGGTTGTTAGCTAAACTCAACAATACTAGGGAGGAAAAGAAAGACTACAGTGGCAAATACGTATCTAATACTTTAATAAAGTCGACTAACAAGTTCTATCAGCCGGCTGGATCCAATGACGTAAGCAGCATATCTTCAATAAGTAGATCGTCGTCAATCAGTAGTTGAAATCGGCAAACAGTGAAATGGTTTTTATTATTTTTTTTGTATTCAACAAAATTGTCGGTATAAAAAATTATTTTGTAACTACAAAAAATATATAACGATTAAATGAAAATATTCGCTTTACAATTATTAGACGTGTAGTAATAATGTTATAATTATTTGTCTTTATTCAATTTCTTTAAGACGTTTGATAATGTCTCTGACGATAAGTCTTCTACTTTTCGTATTTCTTGCATGATGGATTTCAACTAAAAAAAGAAGAAAAAAACAAATAAGAACAGAAAATGAATGAACAAATGAAAACAGCACTTTTTTAGCTCGAATATGAAACCGAGATAGGTAATAACGCTTAAAGCTAATAACGTTTTTATATTACAAGAAAACATATAAATGGTAGTATAACAGTGTAAAATACATAATAATTACTTCTTGCTCGGCCGTGTAAAGTCTATCGGACATGATGTTAAATACAGCGTTGGCTTCCACACTAAATGACATTTGCAAAGACGAACGGCCTAGTTGTAACGCAGAATCAATAGCACTCAATGAATCCTAAATTGATAATTCAATAAATAAAACAAACAAATATTACTTAAACATTGTTACTCAATTATCAACTGACCAAGTAAAACGTCTTGGCCTCTGCAATATCATATCTGGATTCCATTGACACTTTTTCTAATTCTTCGGCAGAATATTCATTGTTTTCCAATAAATCGATGAACTCATAAAGAACGTCTCTGTGGTAAATTTTATAATAAAAACACTCGGTTGTACTTGGAAAACAAACTATTTTATGTTACTTGTATTGTTTTGAAGCTTCCTCGAGTGCGACCGTAGCGAATGTAATCATCTGGCAAGCTGCATTTACCGACAGCGAACACGTTTGTTGTAAAAGATATTTGTGCGTAAAATTTTCAACAGGCTGTTTTAAATTTACGACCTCGGCTTCTTTTACCACATAATCAGAATCAGCGATGGAGGTCGTCTGACAGTAAGCCATTGCGGCTGCTATATGTCGCCATTTGATCAGTTTGGACATTCTGTTCTGGAATACAAATTTCAGGCACTCTAGTTGATTTAGTTAGGTTAAAATAAAATATTCAGCAACAGGAATATTACACTAGTAAAAACACGTTTGACGTATACGTTTTTTTTTCCATATTCTTACCATTTAGAGAAATCAATTTGATTACTATTATAATATTGGTTCGTAGATTTAAAACAACAGTACAGCAATATTCGACTATGAGATAGATGAATTCGAATGACTGTGCAAAGTAATAACCAGTCGGTACTTGGCAGTTAAAAGTTTTAACTAAAAATTAAAATCTGAACGCGATTTTCATTTAAACAAGCCGGTTGTAAATATGATTGTGAAGATAACACCGCAAAAACCAGCACCATACCGTGAATTGATAAGGCGGTTACCCGGTTACCGGTAACATGTCAACATGTTAAAAAATCTTTAATACCATGTATCCTTTATTTATTTATGTATAATCGTTAAATATAAGTATAATATAAAGAAGTTTATTTCGATGTTAAAACATTTTAACATGCATTATGAATTTTCCATTCGTCCAACCTAAATTAGTTGATTGTTCTCAACTCGAAATTAAAACAAAAAATAAATTATATATTCTAAGTCATGCTTTTTTATGGGATACCTACCTACCCCCGAAAAAACAAGATATTGAATAGGTACTTTTTTTGTTGATTTAATGATTTATACACAATATGATTTTACCATGTATACAGTTTTCCATCGAAGTGTAAAATATATACACACTACAATAATATACCAACATAAATATTGATTTGCACAAAAACATTTAAAGCTGCCAGTTATTATTTTTAAAACAACTTGCAGTTTAGGTAATATTTTTAATTCAATACAATATGTTCAGCCAATTTGTCAAGTAGGTCTTCAGTTCTTCAACATCTGAATGTATGGTTAACATTGATAAACTATTAAAATGAATCGAATATTAAATTGTATACTTATAACAGTTTGTCACTTCTGTCATAGTTTGTTTCGTATTAGCTGTAGATTTCATCTTATTTTAAGTATAAATTAATTGAAAAAAATAAACAATACCTAACAGTTTTTATTATTTATATATATTTTGCGACCTTAGACTTGATAGCCTCTGACTTGTGAGCTATAAGTCAGAGCTAATATTCCATTATGGACATTCAGTTGCGGTTGTAAACAAGTCTATACATTTTTTAAATTAGATTTACTGGTTTTGAAAAAATATTGGCCAGCTTTGGATGTATTTATTTTATTATTTATATCCAGGGTAATAAATACCTAGATGGCAGATACATTATTATCCAAATTGTGTTTAACATGGAAAATTATTATTATAAAAAAAACTAGTACAGTGAGGTCAGGACATAATGGGGATGGGTATATTGGGGCCGGAGGTGGTCACAGGCCTATATTAATTGTTAAAACTGAAAGTTATTATAAAATCACTTTCAAATAAACGAATTGAATTAGGTATTTGTAGAAATACAATTATCGATAAAAGCATATATTGTACCTAATGACAATAATGTGCTTAAGAATATATATTTGTTATTAAGGTGGATACGAAGAGGGTTGATCTTATGCCTATAATTAATTAATTAAGGCTATGTATTTTTAAATGATTTGATTCGTGGTCCAACACTCTGAAGGGATAGAAGTTTAATAAAACAAGTTATTAGCAGTTTAATTGAAACATAACTTGTTTGTGTACAATTTTTATTTTCCATTATAAGAACAGTGTTTGAACTGAAAAAAATAACTATTTAAATAATAATACTGAAAAGTATTACTTTTTACACTGTATGTAACATAAATACAAATAGATTTTAAGTTTTTTTAAAAAATAAATCAAAACGATACAAATCAATTTAATAACTAATTAAAATATAATATGTTATATTGGCTTTTTCTAAAGCTAATAAAAAAGTTTAAGTGTTTTTTTTTTATTTTTATATACAATATCGCCCTTATTGTTTCCCTTAATTAAGTCTTAAGCCTTCACCCCGTTAGAGAAACCTAATTCATATAAGTGTACCTATACTTTGTTCAAGTTTATTTTGGTCTAGTAATAATCTTGGTTGTAATTTTTAGCTCTTTAGAACTTGTTCAATCTTTGTCAATAGAAATCCATTATAGAATTAAAAGAGAACAATATTCCGGACGGCAAGACGGTGCGTTTTTTTAAAAAAATTTTTTTTTTTTGAAAAGTTACAGTCATTTAAAAATGTTAAAATAGTTATTATTTCTAAACTATTTATTTGAGCGTTACACTTGGAATAATGAAAAAAACGCACCGTCTGGCCCTCCAGAATATTGTTCTCTTTTAATTTTATAATAGGGGCTTTTACTCTAAAACCGAAATTAAGCGAGTTATTTTCAGTCTGCTCAAACATGTAGAAATGAAAAAACATTTTTAAATCGCTTTCAAGGATTGCCGTGATAGTCCGAAAAATAAATTAACTACCAAAATAGAGTCCTAGTTATTGAACTAATAGTTACACATCACAGTTTAACCTTTAAATTAAGATTTTGTGAAAAATTGCCTATACTTTACTCCTTAAAAATAGGCGGTGCGACGCCCTCTTAAATGTCAATTTTTTTTACAAATATTGACTAAAAAGCGAAGTCACTATTGTCCAGCGAACCGATTAATTTTTTTTGTTACATACAGGGTGATTATTTAAGCATTGTTTTAGGGTTTAATAAGGATTTACAATTTTTTTCATTTAGTTTTTGTATAATGTGATAGTTCATTTTTTCACAATTTTTGTTTTTACCCCTCCATTGACTTAGTTTTTTTGATAGCAACTTTTAAAACTTAAACGGTGACGCATATATTTGATGAAATTTTTAAACTCCACTACCCGTCTTACATTTTTTAAACATTTAAAAATAGTTGTCCAAAACTGGTTATCGACCGGTCAACATTTTTCAGTACATTATTCTCAATTATGATACAACTCGGAGAAAAATAACTTTAAGAGTATTATAACTGGAAAAACTTACTATTTTCTCACCTTAAAATTAGTCGGCATATTGAATAATGCTGCTGCTAGATCAATAATTTTGCCAAATATTGCCTACCCTTTGCCCCTTAATAAACAGCTCTTTCCCATCCCCTCGATGAAACGTCAAAAGCAATGGGTTATAATAGTAACACCTAAAAGTTATTTTTTTAAATTATTTTATTATTTCTATTTTCTTGGACCATACTAAACTAGTTACTATAAAGAGTTACAGTGTCTCAACATATGTGTCAAGGATTAGGAAAATCACAAACCATCAATGTGAAATATATACACCGTACATATATTATATACCAACAGTAATGGTAACTATTCCATTTTTTTTAAAAATAAATTACAAGTTTAATTGATATTCGAAATAAAACAGAATAAACACGGTCAGAAGGCTGTACTCGTTCATTATAAGAAGTTCAACAATAGTTATGGTAACTTTTTCCTTATTGTTATATTCGATTTGGTAAATGTTTTTTTTACACATATTTGTATAGAACCTTCGAATAATAACACGCATTTCACCAATGATTTGTTATCATTTAATTTATCATTTTAATTATGCATACTTAAGAAGTGTGTAGGTACGATTGATCAAACCCAAAATATTTAGAATTTTAATTTATCAATAATTCGGTCTCTCGTAATAATTAAAACTTTGTGTTTGGTGTTGAAAAAAAATTAAATAAAACAAATTAATCAGAAGAAAATGACTTAGAAATATTTAAACGGCTATTGCCAAAAGTCCACGCCGGCAATAAAGAAACAAAAATCAATTTTTAAATGAATAAATCAATTTTATTTTATTTTAATAACATTTTACTTTGTCCGTTTATATAAATTTAACGGTACATATTATAAATGGCCTGGAAAAGTTTATTTCTACCCACAATTCAATAATTTACACTAAAATCCAGTTTTTAAATTATATATTATGTACTATGAATTGCTCATTTTTGTATTTTATTTTTAAATTTCAATTAATATTTTACAAACTGAGAATTATGGAATGAAATCTAATCTGTGCTCGTCTTGACAATATTTTTTTATATTTAGCTGATTTTTGTAATTTACAAGTTGTATTTAGAATGAAAAACAAAAAACTCTCGAACACTTATTTTTTTTAACTTGAATAGCATTTTCAAATTAAAACAATGTGATATTACATTATTGTCAGAAATAGCAAAATAATAATGTTTTGAGCTCCAACGGTGGCTACATATTACTTAGAAATTAACTTTCTGTTTTTTTTTTATTATTAAATTATTATACTTAGTTCTAGATAGCAATTTAAAAAAAATTTATTGCTAAGAAATAAAAACCGAAAAATTAAATGTTATCTTAAATAAAATTGTTTGAGTTCACAAAAATTAATGTACCTCCGAACTACAATACAGTTAGGTATATTACAATCTCATTTAATAGACTTAAAATTATACTTTAACACTTGAAATTATTAGAGACACATCTCGCGGTATATTAATTAATATAACAATATTAATTTTAAACTATAAAAATTAAAAATTGAACAATATTTATCGCACACACAACTCGTACCAAAGTGACTTAAATAAAACTTAAGCAACAAATTTAATGTACCGTGACAAATTTCCATCTGTTGTAAAAAAAGTAGATACTTAGAAATCAATAAAAACTCTTTAAAATTTTAAAGCTATTTTATAAGTAGTATTGGTACACCAAGATTATGGTGTGGTTAATAATTATACAAATCAAATTTGTGTATGAAAAAAAAACTAACACTACGATTATAACTAAATTAATAGGTGGTTTAACTAAACGTTAAGCTGACCGAAGAATTTTATACCAGCTAGAAATGTGTATTGTGTTAGGTACTATATTAACCATAATTATAGTTGGTCCAACTAAGAATTTTTTCTGTAAAATTTAAATGCCTTTTGGTTGTTATGCAACCAAAAGGCATTTAAATTACCATAAAGTATTGCAAGTTAGTAGTTTTTGATTGGGTTAATCGTTATTATATTATTAGATTATATAGAACGCTCAAGTCTCAATATAAACATTTCATTAAGCATTTGGCATTTATTGTTTTTCCGAAATAAATATATATTATGTTTGTGTTGTTAATTTTTTAAATTATCACTTGTTGTTTTGACCATAATAAGTAGTGTAGGTACCCGTGCAATTTTAATTAGCTTATTGTACAACCATTGAACTTTGAATGGGAAAATATGGCGCCACTTGATCGGGTGACGGTAACGAGAAACCACGCCATTATAGATTGCTTTATCTGGCAATATTCAAATATTATATTTTCTAGGTATAAATAGGTGTGCAGCATTCGAGTGCAAGCATAACACGTTTGTTTTTTGCAAAACTATACACTTTGGTAAGTGCCAACAGCGATATTTACTATATGTCTGACACTATGTTGTCTAAATATTATTAGGTACATGTAAATGGTGTAAAACCGATTTCGTTGTTTCAGTATTAGTATCCTTCTATAAGTTCTCCAAGAACCAACTCAAAAAACCAAAAATGGGCGCAGAAAAAGTATCAATGAACATCGTTGTCGTCGGACAAGTGCAATCCGGCAAAGCCATCAAGACTGTCGCCAAGACCAGCCCAGCTGTTGACCAGGCCATGGTAAGTAGTAATTTTAGTAGTCTAGTCAAATTTGCAAAAAAATTCAAGTATAATATTATATGTAAATATCAAATTACAACCGTGTAAATTTTCATTTAAAAAAAACGGTTCAGTTTAATGTAATCAAAATAATAATATGTTTTGTATTGAGCATTCTCTATATAAACTAATAATATTAATTGACCTAACCAAAACTACCACCAACTTGCAATACTTTATGCTAATTGTTAAATGTCTCTTGTTGCACAACACCGAAAAAAATACTCAGTTGGACCAACTAAAAAATTATGGTTATAATATAGTAACCTGTAACACAATACATTTCTAGCTGATATAAATTCTTTGGTCAGCTTAATGTTTAATTAAAGAAACTATTAATTTAGTTATAACCGTAGTACTAGTTTATTGTTTTTTTTTTCATACACAAATTCGATTTGTATAATTATTAAACACACTTTCACCCAGACTACTTATAAAATAGCTTTAAAATTTCAAAGAGTTTTTATTGATTTCTAAATATCTACTTTTTTTACAATATAATATCATTTTTGTCACTATTTAATATTAAAAAAATAGTACCGCAAAACGATTAAATAAATATCATTAGGTACGTTTACATTTATTTTTTAACTTTATTTACTGATAAATATAATATAATATATGACAACAGTACCTATAATAGCATTGTTAAATATTTGGAAATGTGAAAATTTAGTTTTATACTTAGAAATGTAATTTTAAAAAAAAAACAATTATTTATTATAGTGTTAAACTAATAATACTTTTTTTTCCAGAACTGTTAATGAAATAATTCCATGATGTCAAACTCAAAATTGCCATAGACCACACAATGCATATATTTACTTATACCATAATAATAATATGTATTGACATGCTCAAATAAATTTTTAAAAATCCGCCGTTAAAATGTGTTTATTTTTTTTATAAATTTAATTAATTTTTTTTTACCTTTCAAGAACTATAAAATATGTTGTATAATATTAAACACAATTATTACACAGACCAAGTTCTTCTAGAAAATGGTTGTCCATTTATACAATTGCAACAAAAATGTTTGCATGTTTAAATCTATGAAATAAGTATTAAAAAAATACTTATAACATGACTATATTACAATTTACATATTATACTTGTGTGATTTTTCCCATATATTTGTTGATTCATCAATATATTATTGCATTTAAAAAGAATATGCTTAAGAAAATGTATAATTGGTGACTTTTTTTAAAAACTAATTTACTGCATAGTAAAGCGTGTTATTTTATTTTAATTATTATTAATTTTTTTTAAATGAATAATAAAATTATTTTTACTAACATGCTACAAAAGTAGGTACATAATAGTGTTCAGGACAAAAAAAATCAAAAATTGATAGCTTATGCATCTGCTGTATTGGCCTACAGACAAGTACCGCATGCCTTTATACTGTAGGCATAATTAGTACTTGACTAATAAGTAATAAGTTTTAGCAGTTTTTTTATTTATGTTCTCAGAATAACTCTAATAAACATCTCAGCATCCAGCTGGACCATCTCTTAACTCTAAACTATTATCTCTAACCTTTTTACCTCTCTTTTTTTATGCCTATGTCCTAGTGTCCTTAACAATAGTGTTAAGTACATGAAATTGTACTCTTTTTTTTTTTTTTTTAACATTTTACGGGCTTATACTATGTTTATGACATAATACATCAACTGAAGGACGTTGTCCAGATTTTTTTAATTTTATAAAAAATTAAGAGATTCCAGTAAAACATCTAGGTGTCTAGTCTGCCAATTTGTCTGCAAATGTATGTAATTAAAAACATATATGTTGCCATTTAAAAAAACCGAAAATTCCCCTTTTTGGCTAATAAGGATTGGCGATAAAAATGTTCAAAATATTGTTGGAAAATGTAGTAAAATAGGTACCTTAAAGTTTAGGGGGAAAAAAATGCTCAAAATATTCATATTTTCAAAAAAAAAATGAGTGTCTTACACAATAGTTGGATCATTTTGTAACCATAGACCTTATACTACTAGACGGAGCATGCGTGCCAACGTGCTGAATATATTCACATTATTTCATCGACTATTCAGATTTTTAATGTAACGATTCAATAATAGCTATTAGGTAAGCACAAAACCTACAAATTATATATATATATGTGTATTTAAAGATATTGTATCATATTTAGAGTGTTTCTAATAACTTACATATTATTTTTAACAACTATCTGGGGAATATGTCTTCGTCCTAGTTGGCAACACTGCGTGTTTAAATAATCTTATAATAATATCCGAGGCGTGTGTTGTGTTTGTATATACCTAATTGTTTATAATTCGTGTCTTCACTGTCTGTGCTGTCTAGGAGAAAGTGGTATGTATAAAACGTACCTACTTGCTGGGCGAGTCCACACAAGTGTGTTAGAAAATATTTTCTCAAAACATCAATGCACATTGCGCATAATATAAATATAGACGTACCAGAGCTAAGGTAATTTTCAAACGTTACCTGTGTAATATTATTATATGAGATCAGGATTGTAATATATTTTTTACACTCGACAATTTTTTAAATCGAATAATTTTGTGTGTACATGTAGTATGCCGACAGTAGGTGTGTGTAATGAATATTTTTTTATTTAGATTTATTTTACAGTGTATGGGTCTAGGTCAGTGTATACTCATCTTCTATGAACAATCTAAAAATTACTAGGTATTCATTCAATGTTAACCTATCCGCTGAATTAAATAGTAGAAACTATAATATTATATGATTTCTACATTGTTTCAGACGGATTTTTATCGAATTTAACGAACCGCAAAATCTACCAAATGAAAGTTATTAACGCTGTTTTTGTAAATAGCTTTTACTTTTTACGGTAGTGCTGTGCAATTCTGAATAACAAACGTTATTATTTGATATATTAAACTATTATATATTATAATATTTTTCTTGACAATATCAGTATACTACTATCAGTACTGGCAGGTACTACAGAACTGTAAACACTTGCCTAACCTAGTTAAGACTATAAAGAAACAATTTTTTTTTTAAAAAAAACCCGCCTAGTTACCTACATAAAAAAGTCTTTTCGTGTGCCACTTATAGATTTCTGTACAAAATATGGACACACTTAAACAACAATTGACGTTTACCGTTTAGATAGGTAAACGGTAAATTTGACCAGTAAATAGTAATACCTCCTAAGCAATACATTTGATTTTGTTGGGTGTACTCAGAATAATGTGAAATAAATACCTTTTGATGGTGTTACAGGAATTTGGAAAAATAAAATTAACAGGGTAAAGAAAGCCATAATAAAACCAGTGTCGACTAGCAATTAGCTTAGGTATTTTGAGTTATTATCGCGTTTGTAATAATTTGAGTACCCTAATTGAAGAGTGAATTTATCAAACGGTAACAAAGTATAAACAATTTTGTACATTTTTCAAGCGAGGAATAGTTATTTATAAAAATAAAAAAAAACAATCATATTTAACGCTTTAAAATATGTTGAAAGTGTTACCGGTAATGAATAAAATACAAATGAAATTATTAAGTTCAATTTTTATACTTTGGAACGTTTGACAAATTTACTCTTCAGTTATTGTCTAATAATATGTTTTTGGTAAATAAAAAAACAAATAGGTTACAATATCGGGAAGACACTACCACCTATTCTACAATAATTTATTCTTATCTAAATAATTTCAGAGGAGTACAGATGGAAACCGTGTTGAACATATTTATAGCAATATTATAGAATTCCTTTTTTTTTTTGTAATTAGGCACCTATGCAACTATATGAACTATCTACTACTACAAGTCAAGTAACAAGTAACATGACCGTTATTGACATGGAATTTCTGTATGAACTGATTTTGTATACTATGCCGACACAACGGCTTATTTATGGTATTTTTTATTATATTATATTGTGTGTGCATCGCACAAAGCGGTCATCTCCCGTTATGCCGCCGCCTTTTGTCGACCGAATAGACCGGGAAAAAAAACCCCAAAGAATAGAAAATATTCAGAATTCTTTACAATAATAACAATAATAACATGGTAGGTACCAACACGGCGTTCTGCGTAGCCGGTGGGGGTATGTCGTATGGGGAAGGAGGCGCGGTCCGGTTCGGGGAGTGGGACCGTGCGTTTGCCTATCAGTACCGTGATAACCAGATAACCCACTACTATCACGACACATTGTACCTAACGGACGGCTGTGTAATACTTTTCCCGTGTTCTTCGGTGTACTCGGCATATACTCGGTACTACTACGGCGACGGCCTTGAGGCGAATGACCCAACATGATGATTTCATAACCATAGGTGTGTACTTTCTCTGATTTTCTCTTTCGTAACTGCGTGCGCGGTTCCTGCCGTGTGCTGCGCGCGCCAATGCCACACGGGTCGCCATGAACGTCACACCGACAGCAGCAGCGGTCCGGCTACTGTGGCCCAGGATCATCCAGGCCAGGGGTCCGGCGGCGGCGGCGGCGGCCGTGGGCCAGCAGCGGCGATGCGCCTCTTCGGCCACCGCGGCGGTCAGCAACGGCGGCAACCAAAAGCCCGACTGGAACCGGGCCGTGTCCGAGGCCGAGAAGATAGTCGGCTACCCGACGTCGTTCCTGAGCCTCCGATGGCTGCTCAGCGACGAAATAGCAAACGTCGCGTTGCACCTGCGCAAACTGGTCGGCTCCAATCATCCGCTGCTGAAAACCGCCAAGTGAGTAGTAAGAGTACGGCGTCTGTTCATGTTGAATTTTATTTATTTTTGTTTTTCCCCCCCCCCCCCCAAAGAGGTTTGTTGTACAACGGTCGAAACAACATGCAAGCGTGGGGTCTGATAGTGTTGCTCATTTCCAAAGCGGCGGGCCATCTGAACGTCGACGAAATGGAAGAAGACAAGGCGGCCGGCGTGTTGCACAGCCAAAGAGCGTTGGCCGAAGTCACCGAAATGATCAGGACCAGTCATCTGGTGCACAACGGTCTGGTGAACATTTATCCGGGACTATATCCGGAACCGGCTATACTGAACGACATGGCTTTTGGCAACAAAATCGCCCTGTTGAGCGGCGACTATTTGCTGAGCAATTCGTGTGCCGAATTGGCTTCTCTCAGGAATCAAGAAGTAATCAACGTTCCGTGTTTACACTACAGTTAGGTTCCCCCCCCCATCGACATTTTTTATTAATTCATTGATTTTTTTTACGTCTAGCTTGTCGAGTTAATCAGTAGTGCACTTCGTGATTTATCTGAAGCAGAATTTGTGGGCAGGAGAGACAGACAGAATAATCCTTTGCCCTCACCATTCGAGCCGCTCAGTCGAAGTTTCAGCTCTTCGCTGCCTTTAGACCCGCTCGAACCGTCCAGTTCATTGGGTGGCATGCCTCTGACGTCTGCATTGCAAGACTGGACCAAGCGCAACGTCTTGTCCGCCGGTAGCCTGCTCGGTAAATCGTGCCAGGGAACATTGGCTTTAGCCGGCCACGGCGTCGAATTACAAAAACAAGGATTTTTGTTTGGAAAACATCTGTCGTTGGCTTGGCAGGTAAATATATTGTCAAATGTTTGTGTTCACATAGTTTTTTTTATAAATGTATAATATGTCATGTTCATTCTCAGGCGTATTTGGATTTAGAACCGTTCATGTCCGGATCGCCGTATTCTTTGGGTATTTCGTTTAATCTCACTTCGGCGCCGGTCATGTTCCATCTTGAACACGACCCGTCGTTATTCGATGAAATCGACAAGGGCGTGGAATCCGTCCACAACGTCGACTATGCCAAAGTAAGTCGGCAAACTCGAGTTATCGAAAGTTTTTTTTATTAAAATCAATCGCAATACATTTGTTAATTATTTTCCTTGCCCAAATTCTTATAACCTTACCTTGGTTTTTATTCTGTTGTTGTACGATTTGTTCATTTTCACAGGTACACAGTATCGTCATGAAAGGCCCGGGAATCGCTTACACCAAACAACTGCAAAAGGAACATTCGCAAAAAGCAATGGAAGTATTGGAAGTTTTCGAAGAAAGCGACGCCAGAACAGCCCTGTCGAACATTATAGTCGCGATGGGGGGCGAATAAAAATATATATTCTGGTTGTGTATTATGTATTTGGATGAAAAAAAAAAATAATAGTAATTATGTCGCAACACACAGGGTATTACACATTATAATAACGTCAAGTTAAGGATTTTGTGCTATATTAATGATTTTGCTATTTTATCAGATTGCTTTATACTATATGACAGTGTAAAAGTACTATTTATTTATCATAGTTTTATTGAACTATAAAATGTTGTTAAGCTGTTTGTAATATTGTTATTTAGTAAAAAAATGTTATCAATTCGAATCGAAAAATATTTGTACATTTTTGTAAAAACCGTATGATAATAAATAGTCGAAACACGGTACGGTTTCTTAGTATATGTTTATTTTAGCCTGTTGACATGTGTACTTAATATTTTATTAAAATTCTTGCACAAGAAAGCTGTTGAAGGCCACATTTTTTTTTCATCAGCAATCCCTTTCAACAGCTTTGTCTAAAGGTCAAGGCCAAGTACAGTTTATCTACACAAAGCAATTAATTCATTTAACCAGACCGTTAAAAACAAACCACTTTACCACATATTTTTAGTTTGAGCACAAATTACGATACATAAAATACACACGTTTGAGTTTTTTTCCATTATTTTATTTGGGCACTATAACTTTCAAACTAGTTGCACTGTCCAAGAATACAATACGTCTGTCGGACGTCTTCATATCGGATCAGTAATCGTCTTAACGTAACCTTAAAAATACATTAAATCAATATACACAATTCGAAAGACACTTATTTTTAATTGAACGTAACTCGATAAATTGTTCATAATTTTAATAATTCGTTCGAATAAATCGCCTAACAGAAAAATGTATAAAAAGTTGTTGTAAGAAAAAAAAAAAACAAGAAAAACACGTGTCTTATAATTTCAGATCGCCGTAAAACGGTTAACATCATACTGTCGGTAATAATATAGCTAAATAAACTAACACTATCGATTAATAAATCTTACAGTAATTAAATTTAAAAAAAATAGAATATTTTATACTTAATTATTTATTTTCCAGGTCATGCGTGCATATTAAAACAATACAATATTGTTGGCTTTTCTTACGAATAGATAATAAATAATACACATAAATCATTTGCGTTAATATATATGACAAATAAACATTTTATTCTATTGTAAACGTATTTGGTGGTGCACGCTACTTTAGTTGTACAAAACGATACGAGTTTTATAAAAATATGTGCATCATACATCATTAATTAACATATTTAATATTTTGCGTTTGATAAAATACATTTTGTTTAGAAAATACTGCGGGTGGTATTATAATACATCGAAAACTATTCACGAGCTTAAGTTTAACATTTGGGTGAAAAAATTGTCCAACCAATATTTGAATAATAAATATAAATAATACGTGTATTGAAAAAATGTTCTCGTTCAATTAAAAAAAAATACTGTAAAATAATAATTTAAGTAGTGTACATTCCTTATGATAAGTAGTGTCGTTAAAGAGTATACAAACTAAAGATGAAAAATAAATATAATGTTTGGTATAATGTATTATAATTTTGTGATATTACCTATCGTGTGTTTAATTTTTAACATAAAATATAATTGGATTGACTAAACTAAAAATAAATAATACACATACCTATCGGTCCGATTCAAAAATACTGTACAATAATACTCTTAGATTGCGATTCGTGTGTATGTTTCTTATGATAATAAGTAGTGTCGTTACTGACTTAAAGAATATAAAACTAAAGATAAAAAATAAATATTCATACGTTTGGTATAATACACAGTCGAGAGAAATATATAATAGCTTTGGTTGTTGTTCAAAAATCAACAAACGAGTAAAAAAATCTAACAATATACTATCAATTTTATACTTGCCTTCGACGGTAAAAAAAAATTTAAAAAAACAATTCACCGAAATCAAACATTCGAATAAACATTTTTAACTGCACACCGAAGACATTTTTTTTTTATATATATATAATAAAAATATATAACTTAACGACAAATAAGACTAAAACGGTTTTACGAATTTCATAATATTATTGTTCGATTTAAATAATAGCGACATAATATTTATGAAAATAAATAAAAAAACGTGTAAGCAGCCACACAGTAAAATAAATTGCCAAATTACGTTACAGATCATAAAAATAAAATAAAATGGACTAGTTGGTAAAATTAGAGAGCTGAAAATCGAATATTATCACAGTAAAAATAGAAAAGAAAAAAAAATACTCAATTCAATCGTCCACAGAGTTAAATCAACAAAAGTTATGAAAAAATTTGGGGACAGTCGCTCGTGTTGTTTAATTTAATATATGTTAAAGTAGTCAAGACCTTTGGGTTAAGTGGTGAGCGTGTAACTTATCGTAAATATAATATATGCACGTGTATACTAAGTGCACTCGGTGTAAAATTAAATACATCGTAGCACACCCCACACAGTTATCTATTTTTCTCCGACAAATAACTAGCGCTCAGAGGAACGTCGAGATAGCTGGCAAAACGGGCCGTTTCAATTTTTGGAATAACCTAAAAAAAAAGAAGACATTTTTATTATTAGTAAGTTTTTGTACACAAAATCGCATAAAAAAACAAAAACCGCCTTACCTTAAAAGTCGGGTACAACGCGTTTTTCTTTGTCCGCAAATTCGTTCCTTTCGAGTAACCGTCCCAATGGTTGCCGGCCACCGTGATCTCGTCGCCGACTCGCAGGTCCATTTCGTGAGGACCGTCGGCTTCGTGAGGCAAAATGGCTACGTGTAGCCGTCGTTTTTGACCTCCGTAATAGTATATGTCGTCCAGAGACGTATACATGGTCGAAGCGTCGGGTCCGAGCGTGTTCTTTATTTCGTAGGCCACTCTGCAAACCTACAACGGCATATACAGCGACAAAATTATTTACAATTACGGTTTTGTCGGTAAACAACACGGAAGAGTGTAAAAAAAATAAATATAAACAGTCATTCGTAATTACTTGTGATGAAAATGTGCAAACTAAGTAATCGCTTAGCGAAAGGAAATGAATATCGGTGATGATACCGCTTAACGATTGACCGGAGTATCGTTTACTGATCGACGCCGTTTTGGATATATCTTCGTCGCCAATTATGTCGTACTCTGGATATCTAAAACACAATTGACGTTAGCTGATAGTGATACAACTAGTTTAGTACTAGCAGAGTTGAGCATTATCGAGATTTTTAAATTTTTTTATTTAGACAAAGTGAATAATAAAAAATTACATTTAGTATAATCGTATATTTATCGGTAACATACTTTCGTTTGGCTTCGGCAAATAATTTCGGTTCGTCCGTGGCTAAATATACTCGTTTTTTGTCGACTTTACTCCCTCCTAGCTCTCTGAGTTTGTAATATTCTTCGACGTGAATCATATATTCGTCGAGTTTATGAAACGCTGCTTCCGTACCGACTTTATCCGTTCTTCTGATATGCACTCTGAAAAAAAAAACGTACAGCCATCGGTATATGTCATAATATAACATATTATATTATTATAATAATCGTGTCGGTTAAAAAAAAGGTGCAGTTTACCCGACAATGGGTTTTTTGAATCCGACTTTGTTGGCGTAATCGTGTAGCTTTTGGCTGGTAGCCGGTTGTGGCCGAAGCATGTATTTCAGAAACTGGCCGATCCACCAGACGACAGGATCGCCGTGCAATACGTTCAGTCTGGGAGCCAAGTCTTCGGGCAAAGCGAGCGGCAAAAAAGGCGGCCGAGGGTTTATCGAGTCGATAATAGGAAGGGTGATGACTTGAGTTTTGCGGCTACCTGTGGTGTGATGAAACTATGGTAAGATATCGCTTTGCTTTATCAGCAATGTCGTTTACCTGGCCATCGATTTATCGTCTGTCCACTGGGCGACAAGCAGGTGTCGCTCAACGGCAAGAACACTTCTTGCCAACCGGCTTTGGAGTATCTCCACCCCTTGGATTTCAGCACGAGCGTTCTCTCGGTGGCGTACGCAACGATAAAACAGTAAACGACGTGATGCAGTTGACAGCCGTATCCGCAACCCTAGAAAAAATAAAAATAAAATGAATTTGTAATTACGTCAATAGCACAATAATGAATGGACAATGCGATTGAACTGACTTTGTTAAGATCGCAAACCAATTTCCTAGCTTTGGTACAATCCGAAGGATTCTGTAAATGATGCAATCGCTTTTGGACTAAATTACTCAAATCCTCCGACTCTTGTTTTCTCCACGACGCGTGACCATCGACCTCGGCCAAGTTGGATATATCGTTGAGCAAAGACCTGTAACGTTCGCCGACACGGTTTTTCATTTTGTTCACGCGCTCGATGCCTTCGTCGTCGATTTCTTTTCCCAGAGATTTCAATTCAGCGTCGACATAGTACCACAGTTCTTTGATATTAGCGTAAATACGACGGCGTAAAAGCTCGTATTCTTCAGGCGGAGCGTCCTGACCGGTGCCTTTTGAATTTTGCATGTACGCCAAAAGAACTTTCTTATGATCGGCTTTTGGACTGTTGTAAAAGTGTATGTAAAACAACAATATGAGAAAATATAATATATGACGTAATAATATTGCATGTAACACTTACTTGTCATTTAAATCTAAGACCAGTGCGTTGAGCTCGGCATTGCTTTTGTGTAACTTATCGAGCTCTCGTAAAGCTCTGGCCAGTCTTTGGGATGAATCACCGTCTACATTGTCCTGTTGCCGTACAAACTTAAACGTTATCAATAGAAATGCGACCCATGACGACGCAAGGAAAGCCAAAATACGCAGCCAGCCCTGCTGTCTCATGTTGTATCTCCTTTACTACAATTTCTATTAAAAAAAAATATATAAATTTAAAAAATGTTTCGAAAATCTTCTCGACTTCACAGCTTGTTGAAAAACCTAAAGCATATATGTTTTCCTGTTATTGTGTACCTTCGACGCTTAAGGTCTCAAACGTCAATAATACGTTGTATTACGGATTTGTCGAAAGGCCCAAACGTCCAATTCGACTCGCCTATACAATACCCACAGTGTTTTTATGGTAAACTCGGTACAACAGGCTGTGAACCTGACTTGGCGAGGTGGTCTACGATTTTGATTGCTTACCATTTTTGTGTTTCGGTGGATGTTTTTGGACAAGCGGCCGTCGTCGTTGCCTCGGCCGGTCAACACGTCATCGGACCACCACCAAAGCTGCTGCTGCTGACACCATCCAACGGGAAACGGGATCCACACGACGGCACTGGGAGCAATAATAATTAGTTTTCACTTAAATTTGCCATTTCCCAGTGTTGTGGTCGTGCCAAACCGTCCCGTCGTTATCACTACTCGACGGTATCGTTATCAGGTACACTGAGGGAACGAACTTTGTACAGTGTGCACGCGCGCGCGACGGTACAAACGGTTGGCGACACTGTGAGCGATCGCCGCCTTTTTTTTAAATTATAATTTTAAAAGGCAAAACCGCGGTGTTGTCCGTTTGCCGGCCGAACGCACAATGGAGAGTAAGTACGGCTCTGCACTTGTATACTTGTTGTAAATAATACCATTACAATAGTGTATATTTTTTTATTACTGTTGTTATATAATAGTCCCCCGATGAAAAAAAAAAAAAAAAAAAAAAAAGGGAAAAAAATAATAACAGGAACGCTCGACCGGACGCGAATCCTATTGTAATGAAATTACCATTATTTAGCCGGTACCGAGTATTGTAAACTATTGTACGCGCAATTAAAAAAACCGCATTATTATACCTATATAAGTATACATTACCTACACACGTACGAGTTATTATAGAGTATAATATTATAGTGAACCAGTATCGTATGATCACAGCGTGCATGTTTACCGCGGATTTTTTATGGTTCCCGTGTCCTTGAGTGTATAAAATGTTATAAAAACAATATTATTATAATGACCGTTGTTTCGTACAAGGGTGTCTCTCGTATGAAATATTTCAAATATCGAGATTCAATATGAAGCCAAAAAATGTACATATTATACCTGTACATACATACCGCACATTCTCCAAATTCGTCGGGGGCTTGGTACACTTTTGATTTTGATTTTTGCACCTGGAAAAATGATTCGTTGGATTTCACTTTATACTTTTTGTTTTAGGGAAATAATAGCGCCCTTTTTTCTTCCTAGTTAAGACAGGCCCCGGGGACACTGATAAAAATTAACACGGGGAAGATTATCTTATCACGTCTAAAAACGCGACGGCCATAGAGCGTCTTAGAGTGTAGCCGCAGTGTGACCATTTTAGTAAAACTAAAAGTAGAATACAATTTTTAACACGAAAGTCAAAACAATAACTGGTTTAATGACTAGAAAAATTGCTTTTGAGAGATTTTTGATATGTATTAGCAATTAAAAAATGTATAAAATGCTAATGTTAAAACTAATTTAAACAAATGTATTTTATAAAAAACAAACCGTAGTATCAATATTTTAAACTGATAGTACTAAATAGATAAGAAAAGTTAAGGGTATTTTATGCCCTTTCAACATGGCCGTCACGTTTTTGTTTACTTTAAAAGTTTTGCTTTTATCTATTCTGTGGTCAAAGAGTTTAGAGAGGTTCCACACAGTCATAAAATAGTATATGCTTGTAAGTTCAGCGTAGTGATAATTATTAACCATGAAAATCATCATCAAAACATATATCCTTAAGTATGTACTCTTAGACCTTTTATCGTTATTGCGGCGTTTGTTTTTTTCCCTAAGGAAAAATAAACTATATCGGTAAGGTGACTATATTAGTTTGTGATCGTGTGGTGTCGATGGAGCGCCAGTGTGTGTGTGTATTTGTGTGTATACACACATAATAATATGACAGTTTCAGGTCATCGCCTGTCCTTATATTATTGCATAACTGCATATAATATCCCGGTCTCTCGTTTTGGATATGCACACACGGCAAACACGCATATAGTACAACACTCTATTGCTGCACATAATATATATCTAATACGAGATAGGTATATATACTTAATAAAAATAAGAAAAGCACTTGTTGGCACGAGCCCGCGGTGCACCGTAAGCGTATAAGCGCCACGGGCGCCAACAGGTAGGTTACCAATACCCGGGTTCTGGTAATATATATATATATATAATAATATATAACTCGAGTATGATGTTGGGTGTACGCAGCATACATATATTATAGTAGATTAACATAAATATATACTATAACAATTTAGTAACATGTAAGTATAGTATAATATAGGTATATATGTGTATGTGTATTATGTGTATCAGCCCGAAGGCGCCAAAGACAGGTTTCCAAGACACGGTGGCCCGGTCACCTAAATTGCATGAAAAAAAAAATCAATTCCCCGTTCGCCATTAAATCTCTTGACCACAATATATATATATATATATTATATGTAACGAGAACAGTGCTCGAATATTAAATTGTCGTCATGAAATAATAGCAATAAAAACGGGTAAGCGGTCGTAGGTTCCCAAGCGCCATCCTATAGTTATTATTCTTCAATGTATGGTATAACTTGGTTATAACCTGGTAAAAGGTTAGGTAGAGCGGGACCGTCATTACCACAGTGGTAACCTGTTATCATTGGCTGTTATCATGACCGTGGGAACTTATGACCGAACGCTATTATTATTATTATGCCAATCTGATTATGCGAAGCTCACTACAATTTCATAGATGAAAATATAAGACAACACAGTGGTAAAAATATATTGATGACAAAAAAAAAAACGCAAATCTTGTTATTATTATTATTATTGGTAACTATAATTATATGACGTTTTTTTCAAGTACACGCGTACAAAAAAAAAAAAATATTTAATCGTGTGATTAACCTACGATTTAATAATAAAAATAATATAATATAATATAAATACATAAACAATGAATGAAGAAAAAATACATCACAATACGAGAAGCTAAAAAAAAAAAAAATTAAAGTCAAAAAGATATTATATATAAAAGAAGATATATAAAATATATTATATACAACCGTATGTATTATAGGAGAACGTATATGTATAGGCTTGATGTGTTGTATAATATATATATATTTTGTATATTGAACTCAATTTCCCGCATTGGACACCGTTATAGAAAATGTTTGACACTGGTACACTGCAAAACTTGGAACTGGGATATAACCGATATTTTTTTGTAATATTGTGAGATCAAGTGTTTTTTTTTTATTATCATTACCTTTTTGATTGCGAATAGAAACGTTTTATAATAATGGCACTACGACGGCGACTAGCGGAAATATTATGTACAAGTGTAGGTATATCAGAGAGAAAAAGTGTGTGTGTGTGTGTCCTCTTAACCGATGATGATCGTATGTTAGACCCATATAGGAGATGTTTAAAAATAATATTAAAAAAAAAAATATACAAATATGACTACTGGGAATGACAAAATGGCCGCTTTCGAAGGAGGTGTTGTTTTAGGGGGAAAAAAAAAATACTATACGTTTTACAACGTCGCGGGGCGGCTAGTCGTACAGAGAGATTATAGAGCTGCGTGCAAATAATAATATAATACAGAAAGTATATAATAAGAATCTAGAAAAAAAAAATAATACTAATTCAAAAAGCGGTTGGTTCAGTATTTGGCTGCCGCCGGTGTCTTTTTCACGTCGGCGAAGAAACCGTTGTCCCAGTCGGCGTAGTAGGTGACTGTTCTGACGGAACCGTCGGGTTCGACCAGACTGTATTCGCCTTTCACCACCTCGCCGTCTCGTTCTTCTTTCTGGCTTTTCTTGTCGCCGGTGTACGAATCGTCCACGGCGTACTCGTAGGCGTATCTGGGGTTCTCGTCCTGCGAATAAAGAAAAAAAAAAAAATATCATGATAAATGGTATTTATAATGGTAATTATGCGCGCAATAGTAATGACGATGATGATGATGATGATAAATAGCAGCTTTGTCAAACACACACACATCGCATATTTATTACAATGACGGCGTAGAAAAAACGACTCTCTCGTCTTACCTACGCGCTTACCACTGCTTACCTCATGCGCAGTAAGTCGTATTGTACGTTTCCGCGTGTCAATCACACACACACACACGCGCGCGCAGACAGACTTGACACAAGTAACGCGTTTATTTAAATAGTATAATATTGTACGCAGTTACTGTCGCGCGTTATCGTTGTAATGTTTTTTTTTTTTTTTCTTAAACGGATAAAAGCGTTGGCAATAATTACTATTTTATTATTATTGTATACTCACGTAGTTTTCCAAGTGGCTGTTGACCACGTTCTTGGTCGGTCCGGACTTGGGTGGCGTCACGTAACTAGAGTAAGTCTTGGCGGCTGCGTACTCCTTGGGCGCGGAGTAAGCGGCCGGGGCGTAAGCCGGAGCGGCCGGGGCGTAAGACGGAGCGGCCGGGGCGTAAGCCGAAGCCGATGGCCCGTAAGACGGGGCGGCCGGGGCGTAAGACGGAGCGGACGCGGCGTAAGACGAGGAGGAAGACGGCGCGTATGCCGGAGCGGACGGTCCGTAAGACGGAGCGGCCGAGCCGGACGAGTAGCTCGACGAAGACGAGTAGCTGGGGGCTGAGCTGCCGTACTCGGAAGAGGCCGACGGCGAGTATACTGCGATCGGAGCCGACGAGTATTCGGGTTTCGACGAGTAAGATGGTTTCGGGGCCGAGTACGCTAGTGGCGAGTACGGGGCTACGGCGTATGACTGCTTCGAGTAAGACGGCGCTTTGGTGGCGTACTCCTCGTGGTCGTAGTCACATTTTGGAGTGGTGGCCGCCGCTACGTATGCGGAAGGCGCAGAGTATTCGGCTGGTTTGTAAGCCGGCGCGGAGTATTCTGGCTTGGCGATTTTGAAGCTGCTGCTGGAGTACGAGTTTGAGCTGGCCGACGGGTATTTCGGGGCCGGCGAAGCGTATACCGGTTCGGGTGCGGCGTAGCTCGGAGCTGGGGTTGAGTAACTAGAGGCTGAGTATTTCGGGGCCGGGGAAGCGTATACGGGTTCGGGTACGGCGTAGCTGGGAGCAGCGGCGGAGTAGCTGGACGAAGAGTAGCTCGGAGCAGAGTATTTTGGCTGGGAGTAGCTTGACGACGAGTAAGAAGCACTTGGAGCAGCGTAGCTGGGTGCTGGGGTTGAGTAGCTCGGAGCCGAGTATTTCGGTGCCGGTGAAGCGTATACTGGTTCGGGCACGGCGTAACTCGGTGCTGGGGTTGAGTAGCTGGATGAAGAGTAGCTGGAAGAAGAGTAGCTCGGTGCAGAGTATTTCGGTTGAGAGTAGCTGGACGACGAGTAAGAAGCACTTGGAGCAGCGTAGCTGGGTGCTGGGGTTGAGTAGCTCGGAGCCGAGTATTTCGGTGCCGGTGAAGCGTATACTGGTTCGGGCACGGCGTAACTCGGTGCTGGAGTCGAGTAGCTGGGAGCCGAGTATTTCGGTGCCGGTGAAGCGTACACTGGTTCTGGCACGGCGTAGCTAGGAGCCGCAGCGGAGTAGCTGGAAGAAGAATAGCTGGACGAAGAGTAGCTCGGTGCGGCGTATGCGGGCTTCGGGTAAGACGGCTTGCTGTAGGACGGAGCCGGCGAGTACGACGGGTAGGACGGTGCCGGGGTGGAGTACTCGTGCTGCGCGGCGTCGTCGCATTTCGGTGTGGTTACGGAGTAAGCGACAGCCGGTTTGTATTCGCTTTTGTATCCGTGTGGAGTGTATTCGGGTGTGCTGGGCGCGGCGTATTTCGGAGCTTCGTACTTGGGCGTAGAGTACACGGCCGGTTTGTACGCCGCCGGAACCGAGTAGGAGGACGGTGCCGAGTAAGCGGGAGCCGAGTAAGCAGGCTTGGCCGATTTGTAGCTGCTGGTGTAGCTCGGCGAAGAGTATTTCGGCGTGCTCGGCGAAGCGTAACTCGGTTCGGGGACCGCGTAGCTCGGGGCCGCGTAGCTCGGCGCCGCGTAACTCGGCGCCGAGTAGCTGACCGCTTCGTAGCCGCTGGGTTTGAAGTAAGCTGGCTTGGCGGCGGCCGGTGAGTACGGCGCCGGGGTTTGGCCGTAATCGGATTTCGGCGGCCCGTACGCCGGTGAGTGCGAGCAATCTTCACCGTGTTGATGGCTTTCGTATTGCGCGCTGCAGCTCAAAGCCAGCAACAGCGTGACCGCTAAAACCTATTATTTTTTTTTTTATAGAAAAAACACAATTAAAAAAATAATAATATGTACCTTTTGAGTTGACAAAATTTAGATTTAAAGGGGAAAAAATGTTTTTTGAAAATTATTTTCAAAAAGTAAAATCAAAACCTAACCAAAAAGAAGCGTTTTAGCAAAAATTGTAATCAAAAGTTTTGTCATAAACAAAAAAAAAAACAGGTGTATAGAAAAAGTTGTAGAATTTTTGTTTTGTAAAAAAAAAAATACACAATATATGAATCGCTTTTTGTTAAAAGGGCATATGTTAGATTTTTTGTTAATTTTTTTTTTTGCAACTTTCAACCAGTATAAACTTGAATTAAATATTTTTACAGTATCGAAATTTGGTATAAATGTCCAGTACCGTGCACGTCATAATACACATAAAAAAAATTATTTACAAAGTTACCACATTTTGAAAGTTATGCAATTTTTTTTTATCGTTTGCCAAAAGTTTACCCGTTGAAACGTGTGCCATTTTAACAAAAAGCGATTCATATCGTGTTCTCGTTGACCGTCGGGAAAATAATATTTTTTTTTGAAAAAAACCTCCTTACCTTTAATTCCATAGCGGTTGATGCAAAGAAGTACACTCGAACTGTGTTAAAAAAAAAAAAAAACCACTAAAAAACCCGCGAATATTATAAAAACCAACGGCGGAGCGCACGAATCGAAGCGGTTCGTCAGACGGACACCAATCGGCAGGTCGGCGACTGGGCTTAAGATTTTATACACAGCACATCCCACTAAAAAAAAAAAAAAAAAAAACACCGGCTAAAAAAACAACCGAGCCGGTATACCCCTACCCGTATGCGATCTATGCCGTGATCTATACCGCGGCGTGTGCGCGATCACTATCTCTCCTTGTCACCAGCCGAAGCCCCCGGGCAGCTTTTTCGGTCTTGGGTGTGGTTACCTCTCAAGGGGGCCGGTTATACGCTCTGCTGCTGTACACCGCGCTATTAGTAGCAGCGTTTCTTACACCTGTGCACGCAACACACCATAATACTGTCGTCCGGGTTTAGAAACGACCACCAATTTGACCACATCACCAAAGCTGGTCGACCACCCTTAAGCGTTAAATCCCCAACAGCATAGGCGCAATTTCAATAAAAAAAAAAAAAAAATCAAGGGTGCTCCGGCTGTACAGCTTTTCCGTGTATTTAAAGTTCTGTATTTAAAGCCCTGTATTTAAAGTTCTGTATTTAAAGCCCTGTATTTAAATTTGAATTTTGACTAATGCGGTTAATGTTTCGTTTATTTTCAACAAGGATGTTGTACATTAATTCAACGTTCAACACTTTAGTTTATTAGTATATTTTATAACAAGCAATAGTAATTACAATATGCTTTGCTTGTTATGCAAATGTGTCAATAACTTTGTTTATTATGTTAATTGAATTTGTCAAATCTTTTTCTATTTACAGTACGTGTATAGTGGCGGCAAATCTGTAAGCCAAATCTTTTATAATTTTTAAAGCAGAAAACGAGAACGTTCACAAGATGCAGAACTGTTTGAATAATGCTGAATAATAAATACTGTTATCAACTGTGCAAAAAACTTGCAAGGTTTTTTTTAAATTAAACATTTTCATAAGCAGATGTGTTAATACATTGATTTTGGAAAAGTATTAGAGGGTGCTTATTTTAAAAATGGGGACGCTAATTTCCCTCCCCCCTAATTGCGCCTATGGAGGGCGGATTTACTTTTAGGCTACCTTTTAGGACTTTTAGCACGGTTAGGTTAGGTCAAAGCCAATATTATTAAAACAGCTATATATAGTGTTTGTTCTGTGTTGTTAAATGTGTGTTTGCAGATGTGTTGGCCGGATTTGCGCCGTTTAGCTGTGGTAGATATGTTTTGCCGGTTCTGGCTCACCTGGCACCTGGTGAAACCTAACCTAACCTAACTTAACCTAACGTAACCTAACGAAACCTAACCTAACCTAACCTAACCTACCTCTCATTTTCCACCTCTCAGACATTCGTTCCTTATAGTCAAGTAGGGAGGAGAGAAAGGGGCGGTAGGTTATGTTAGGTTAGGTTTCGTTAGGTTAGGTTAGGTTAGGTTTCGCCAGGTAGGTTAGGTTTCACCAGGTGCCAGGTGAGTCAATATTATTATAACAGCTAGAGGGTTTCTTCTGTGTTGTTAAATGTGTGTGTTTGCAGATGTGTTGGCCGGATTTGCGCGGTTTGGAGACAAAAAAAAAAGAGCATTTATCTCGAAAAAGGAATAATAATAATAATACCGGATTGGCGACCATAGCTGCTGTGTTATAAGTCAGAGCTGGGGCCACGATATCGTTATAATACAAAAAAAAAAATATCTGTGCATGTACACATTAATCACACGAGCCGGCCACAAAACACTGGTCGTTGAGAAAAGCAAAATCCCACGTGAGACATGATAATAATAATGATATTCTTATAACGGGGCGTTGTCGGCCATAAAGAATTCGGTCCAGAATATAATAATTGTCCGAGGGCGCTTCTAAAAAAAAAAAACCAACATATTCGGTGGCTGGTTTAGTAGAGTAGAGAGGTACACATAATATAACAGCTATATGTTTTTTACAATATTATATATGTTAGAGGAATAGATGTAAGAAACGCAGAGAGATAGAAATCAACAGGTCGTGCACTATTCTCACAAGTCAAGACGACGGCACCAGATTTGTGGGGGCCGATAACCTAAACTGTCATCGAGATAATAACAACAACAACAACTTACAATAATAATAATAATATAACACGGCTGTGGTTGCTTGTCTGCTTCCCTAAAAAAAAAAAAAACCTCCTCAGGGCCTCCATTGCTGACCGGATAATAATAATACTTATAATAGTTGCTAAACACAACCATACACTACATCTATATGTTATACTTCTCTCGGTCTGTTAGACTAATTATTATAATAATTGGCAATTTAAATCCGCCCAGCAACAATTACTTTGCATGGTTGTACATAGTATATATGATATGTATTAGACCGAAACAATACAAAACCCTTTGGCCGGCTATAAAATATGCTTTACTTATTATAATAAGTATATAGTAGCCGTACCGTATACATTGTGATAATACATCAAATATTATTATCGTTTGCATCTGTATAACGTTTATGTTATGTTGAATAATTGTTATCATTACATTAGTCGTGCAAAAAAAAAAATTGCACACAACCTCCCCCCTCTTTATTTTGTCGTTTGTACTTAACGCGCGATCAACAGGTTTTGCGTGTATTTTTTTGAAACCCACACCATATTTTATGACCGACCATAAACAACAACACAATATATGGACAACGTACAATTTTTTTAATTATATTTTGTTAAAAACAATAACAGGCGTCGGTTTTTTCCTTCGCATTTTCCTTTTTCAGTAATCTCGCCCGAGACGCGTTCGTAGGTTAGGTTAGGTCCGACATGAGCGCAAATGTACAAAACTTATAAGGATACTTAAAAAAACCAAAAAAAAAAAAAATCAACTTAGGCGATTTGTCATCGATAAAAATAACATAACCTAACCTAACCTGAACGGGTAAACTAATAATTAGTTGGTACACCAACAGTAAAAAAAAAAAAATTACTATTATTATTATAGAACCGTCCCAGGAGACATTGGCCTAGCTGGTGCACTGGAAATACCTCACCTGTTCACAGACCTAATAATTTAATAATTTAAAAATGTTAATAATTATAAAGTTTATTATTGCATTTATAGGAAAAAGAAACATATTATACAATAAAATATATTTTAAAGGAGGTGACAACAGTTCTTATTTGGCGATATTATCATAAACTCATATGGTATTGACAACCTGTCATGTTAATTTAATAAAATACAATATATCTAATTAATAATGATTTACTTAAATAATTATGAATAGGTATAAATGATAACGTGAGTCTACCGGCCAGATTTTTAATCACACAGTCATTAATTCATCTTAAAATTAATATTAGTTCTTATACAGATGATAAAATGATATTTCTGGCTCGAATTAGGCACCCTCAGCTACCAATAGGTATAATAATATTGCCCAACATTAGGTACCTATATTGTCTTGGCCGATTACATATGATATATTTTGTAGAACATAATAATATTCTTATTATGACAGTATAAAGTGATAAAGTGTAAGGATACCGCGATGGCATTTTGCAACAAGTACATAACGTATAGACATTATAAGCATATACCTATATGTATAAGTAGTGTGCTGTATGTTATATGTGTAGGCATAACGTACAAAGATACAATTATTGTTATATTTCATGTGAGAACATGACATTTGCCGGCTAATATGGTCATTAGGTGCCGCGAATAAAGCTAAAAAGCCGACCCGAATTGAGCTATTACCGGCCATAATAACATTATGTTTTCCATATTATACTTTATTATTATATATATTTTTTTCCTGTTGAAACGTATGATGTTTTACTCGATTTGGATTACATTGAACCGCATTGAAACCGTATACAAACGCAATAGTTATAATACAGTGTACCCGAAGTATACCTAGTTATGGACGTATACCTAGTTATGGCTTTAACATTGTAAGTGCACCAATAGCTGTTTAATGTGTTGTGGGTGACTTATATAAGCTTTTTATCGCTGTGCTTTTCAATATATATATATATAGTTGTGGCATGTGTTTGATGTCATCAACCCCCATTTTTTGCATTTCCATAATTATTATAATACCATAACGACCATATTCTAATCAGTGTGACTGTGAAAATGGAAATTTCAGCAACTTTACTATTTATCATTATATAGCTGTCGATATCAGCTAAATATTACAATAGTTAATAAAATATACATTTGAAACAAGTAAATTATAAGCTAGATTAAAAATGTACACAAACGAAGGCTATGGTAGATATGTTTTGCCGGTTCTGGCTTACCTGGCACCTGGTGAAACCTAACCTAACCTAACCTAACCTAACGAAACCCAACGAAACCTAACCTAACACAACCTACCTCTCATTTCTCCACCTCTCAGACATTCATTCCTTATAGTCGAGTAGGGAGAGGAGAAAGGGGCGGTAGGTTATGTTGGGTTAGGTTTCGTTAGGTTAGGTTAGGTTAGGTTTCGCCAGGTAGGTTAGGTTACGTTAGGTTTCACCAGGTGCCAGATGAGCCAGAACCGGCAAAACATATCCACTGGCTATGTCTATTTGTACATGCATTTATTATTATTGAATAAATAATAATATTAAAATCCAAGATGGATTTAACGATTTTCCGTTGCTCGGTGAAGTCAAACTAGCCGTTTTATCATAAAAAAAAAAAAATGTCAGATTGTGAACAAAACATAAACACGACCGAACAATCTGATTAAAATACAATAATTATTATTCGAAACCGGTGTGATAATTACAATTAAAATTGTCAATTTCTATTGTTCGCGTTCGATATGGAAATAATACAATTTTTTGATTTGTATTGTACTACAATATTATTATTATCGTTATATAATAATTATTTGCACCACGATATCGTTTTGTACCTAATATGGCCGGGGCTCGTTGGCCTTTAGGCATACCTACCTAATTGGAAACCAGGTTTATATTATACAGGTGTATACCTAACCTAATAATATACCTATTATTATTTAATTACGGTTAACGCGCGAAATGAACTCGTTAAAAAATATATTTTTCGTGATCACCCCGTCATCTCT